CTCTAAAGCAGAGAAGATTTTTCTGTAATGCTGCTCCTGGGAAAGTCAGGGATTCCTTGCATCGGAGAATGCTCCCTCTCTCTATTCCTTCATGGGGGGAAATTGCTTCCTCTTTCACCCTGTCAGTTCCTATAAAATCTTCAGCAGCTCAGGAATTCAGACCAGCCACCTCCAGCAGTTCATATGTGACGCTTCTCTTCCCATCATTATAATACCTGACACGAAAAGGGCAGCAGTTTGTCATAGCAATTGCTGCTGCTTCTGTCAACACCCTGCTGTGCTGGCTTGCTGCTTTTTCCAGGGCATCTCCAGGTGTCCCCCAGGAACTGTCCTGACCTGCTGCATGGCTCTGCTCTCACCTGTGCAACTGCATGCATCAGTGTGCACACATCATTGCTTGATTGCTCCTCTTTTTTGTTGAGAAACTCAAGCAAGTTTACAGTTTCAGAATCACATGTACTATTCACCATAGAAAGGACACAAAGATGGAATAATCCATCTTAAGAGCTGCAGAGAATTTGTTTTTACAAAAGCTCCTAGAAGAAAGGGAAGAGAGGGATAAATAAAGAAAACTTCTTTAAAATAACCAAGAAAGGCTCTCAGTTAGCCAGTGTTCTCTGAACCTACAGTAACCATAGTGAGCCAAACAAAAGGCAGCAGTACTAAGTCTTATGTATCCTTGGTGATCTGCTTAAGCAACTTCTTGCTTTTACAGTAAGCCAAAAAAAGGGGGAACACATGGGTTTGAAGTCTCCTGCAGGATCTATTGAGTGACAAGAAGCCTCCTCTAATGCAAGAAAATGGTCTGGAATGTTCATGCAAAGCAGGACCGGGGGTGGCCTTTGGGATTTTCAGCAGAGGGCAGTGGGCATGGAAGGCTTTGCTGCAGAAAAGACAACGGCAGGACTGGAGTTTGCATCAGCCCAAGGAGACTCTGGAGGCCTTTTCAAGTGGGTGCATTTTAGGAGAGGCCAGCTTGGCAGGGAGCTCCTTGTCTTCTCCTTCCAAAAGAGCCTGACAGAATTGGCTAGATGGCTTTGTGATCAACAGGAGAAATGAGGAGGCGTGGGACATGCTGGAATCACAGAAGTTTGTTGGGGTTTCACAAGAAGTGGGAACCATCCTGTCTGGAACTTCCTCAGGAAAGGAATACTTTGCTGTTGCATGTTTCTAATTGGCATGGACTCTCCCCAGGGCCAGGGCCTGGGAGCTAGGGATTTGCAGAGACATCTGGAATAAGAGCCAAGATCTGGATCATCACCACCCACAGAGCACTCACACATTAATTAGACAGGACAGAGGAAGTAGAACAATTTTGTCCATTCCCGGGGGGAAACCGAGGGATGGAAAACAAGAGTCTTTATGCTATTGACATGTTTTGCTGTACAGACGTTCCTGCTGATTTCAAGGGCAAGGGGTCGTTCTCCACTCCTGGCACTGCCTAGGCTCTGGTCACAGCACGTGCAGTAAGCACCAGCCATTGAATCCAGCCCCAAAGGTTCAAAGCCAGACTGATTTTCAGGTATTCCTCTACCCCATACTTGTCAGTCACCTTTCATAACTTGACTTGGCAGAGCAGTTGGCCTAATTCAGCCAAAAGGAAAAAAACTCCAATCCCTGGCTGGCTCCCGCTGGCTCCTCCTGCTCCTGATGGATGAGTGACAATCATTATACCCACAAGGTGTGCTGGCTGCATTTCACCTTGTTTTTCTCAGCTTAAATAAACTGCAAGAGGTCTTGCTGGCTACTGATTGGCCCCTTGCACGAGGTCCTGTAGCTTATGGCCATCACATTTTTGACACAAGTGACTGCTGAGGGTAGTTTTGGCAATGCTGTGTCTGCTCCACTTGCGCACTGAAAACAGCAGGCTGCAGGCTGTGCCCTGAGTGACAGCACTGAGATGCACTGGGGATTTAGGGAACAGTGGAAAGCTCACCTTCCCACTTCCACTCGCTGGAGATCTGGCGCCCAGGGTGGGTTAGAGCAGGGAGCCACAGGCAGAGGTGGTCTCCATGTGGTGCTGTTTGGCTGCTGTGGCTGCATGGCGTGCACACATCTCCCATCCTCTGCTCTGTGCCTCCAGCACATCCCATCCTGGGCTCCGTGCGCCCTCGTACAGCAAAGCAGGTGTTCATTTAACCAGGTTACCTGCATGGTGAGGTTTGTTTGCTTTGGTGATAATTGTTACACTGTGATAGAGCTTTGTGTTTATAGTGCAGCTCGTTTTGTTTGAATCACTCAATCCTCCCCAGGAAATTTCACCACTCCTTAAACACAAATATTTTCAGAGGCATGCAAAAATGAAGAATGGACATGGAGCATCTGAGCTTTGCTTTGGACTTTTGATGGAACCTTATAAGTCTTTTTGCCTTTTTTGCTTCTCTGAGCAGCAGTACCAGGTCACAGGCCTGTTGTGAATGTTTTCTTCCAGGAACTTTCAGGGATTTGTATGCAGGTAACCCCAGCTGGGTAGATGAGAGATGAGGATGCTAACAGGTTAGTAATAGATGAGAGAAGAGTGTCAACAGTAAAATGTCAGTCCACATCTCCATTTATATTCTCTCTAAGTCCGTAAGTAATACAGGTTTGAAGCTGCCATCTAAACCTTCCAAAGGCACATGTGGGTCTGGTTTTAGGTCTTGCTCATGGACAGTTTAAGCACACAGGAGCAAAGCAGTTCACTTCCAGCCTCTGGAGTAACTTGCAGATGACTCTACCCATGCTAACAAACTTTCCTTCAAGGCATGCTTTACTCTGGTACTGTGGCTGGCTGCTTGGCCTTGCAGGCTGCAGTTTAAGAGCCCTTGGTGTAGGGATAAGCTGGAATGCATCAGGATTTGAAGAAAGATTTCTTTCAGACTGGTTAATAACATTATCAGCATGATCAGAAGTATTGCAGGGTTTAGTCTTCCCTGAAAGTGTTTGATTTCACATTCTTTATAAAGGTGAAAATGGAAGAATCCAAATGTCCATTTTCACTGCAAAAGGAGAAAAACAAAGGCCTGGCCCCTGTAGTTGTAAAGACAACCTTAAAAGTGTTCCTGTGAAGTGAAAAACCTCAAATATATAATTACAATTGGAATTATTAGATGATAAATCACAGATCATAATTCTGCTGATTTTTTTTAAGGTTAGGGTTCCTCCAGGCACAAATGAATACAAATGCTTCTGATGAGTATCACAGCCTTTGAAGTAGCTGGTATTTGTTACAAAACATATTTTTCCAAGCAGCACTTTTCTCCAGTATACATGCTGTAACATAAAGCAAAACCAAACATAAAATCCCTTCTGTTGACTATATCACAAGTTAATCTAACCCCTAGTACCCCACTATTGTATTTCATTGAAATGATACCCACCTGTTCTGCTTTACAGCAGCAATAAACTGCAGCAATACTGCATTTTTCGTTTGTTATTTATTTATACTGGCAGCAAGGGCTAATGTTTCATCTCTCACCCTTCCTGGTAATTGTGATACAAGGCTCTTTATGGGAAGGCTCATTCCTGTGGTTTTATTCATTCTTAAGAAGAAAAGAAAAAACTCATTCATGAGTGGAATGACTTCCTGGTAAAATGAATGACAATGATTTTTACCTCCCTTTGTAGGGGGTTTGGAGACTTTATTGACTGATGTTTGGGGAAGTCAGATTTTACATTTTAGAAGGTACCTGGGCTGGAATTCCTTGCTTAGGAGGAACAGACCACCTTTGCCAGTGAGAAACCACCATTCAACACCGAAACTAACGCCCTGGTAAAAACCTGGGCAGCGTGTCTGCATGTGCTGAGTTACATGTCTGGGGCATGGCTTAATTACACACTGCTTGGCCTGACTTGGAATAAAAGCAACTTCCAAAGGCATGCCTGCAATTCCACTGCCCCGGAAATCTCACCCCTGCACACAGCTGCCCTTCCTGCCTGCATCTGAGGCAGAGCCAATGCAGCCACATCCCTTTGTGTCAGCAGGATGTCTGGGGAGGTGAGTGCCTGAAGGAAGTGCTTCTATTTCTGCTGTGCCAGGAGATGTTCCACAGGAGGGAACGCGTGGGTCCCGTGGCATCTGCTAACACAGGTCACAGCCTCTGTTGAGCAGGGACAGCAGGGTGCTTTGAAAAGCAGGAGTTGTGGTGGCAGGTTTTGCGGTCAAAGTAATTATCAGTTGCACTTGGAGCTGGTGGCCCTCCCGAGTCTCCTGGAACTCAGCATTTGCAGTGCCTAACCTGGCCCTCTGCTATGCTAGTGCATGCCTTTGCAGAGAGAGTGCATCAGTGCACAAGGCTGCAATTCCCAGATCCTGGGCCAGATTTTCTTCTTTGCCTTGTGTATTTCTACTGGCACACGGATGGGGAGTCACTACACTGCGTACATGATGGGCCGTACAAAGCAGAGGCAAGTGCCCTGGGACTCTGCTTCTAGCCTTGCCACTCCATAGCCTGGAGCAGACTGCTTACTTTCTCATAAAATTCAAATAATCATCTACTTTCTTTCTATCCCTAGCTGAAAAACCCTACAGAGATGCTGCACTTCATTAACTACCTACACCTGAGTGCTCCTGCTTTGCTGCTGGCCAGTAAGAAAGAAGCTGTAGTTCATCAGGCATCTGGATCCCAAAGGGGAGCTTGAACAAACAAAATCACATCCAAGCTCTTCTAATCCTGGCTTTGCCCTTGGGCTGGTGCCTGGGTGCTCTTATCAAGAGGCGTTCCATGGCTGTTTTGCTGGAGTTCACTGCTTCCAAATACCAAAGACTTTTCAGGCTTATTCTAAGCAGTGCTTCTTGGCAGAGCTCATCTGGCTGCTGATTCCAACTCACTTCTATAAGAAATGTAGGGGTGGCAAGCACAGACCTTTGAGTGAGCTGGCTGGCAAAGGGGTTTTTTTAATCCAAGAGCAGAGTTTGGGGCTGGTAGATCAATTCTTGAGCAGAAGCACACTCTCAGCTCTGCAGGTGAAAGCCAAACCGTGTCAGGCACGTCTCACTTTCTCCCTTCTCTCCTGTGCAGATTGAAGAGGGAGGGAAGGCAGATTCCCTGCCTTCCAAGCTGCAGGCTGGGGATGAAGTGGTGAACATCAACGAGGTGGAGCTGAGCAGCTCCAGGAGAGAGGCCATCTCCCTGGTGAAAGGCTCCTACAAGAAGCTGAAGCTTGTCGTCCGCAGGTAGGCGAGAGCCACAGTCATTCCCTGCCCTCCTCCTGCCCCACAGGCCACCCAGCCGTGCCCCTCACTTCTCCAGCTGGAGCCCTACGGCTCGGCCTAATCTGAGCACAAGCCTTGTTTTGAGAGCACAGGCATGAGCCCACGGGCAAATGCTTGTTCTTTCACCAATATTTCCAGGGCTCCCTTGTCACTGACAAGTCCAAGCACGTGAAACACACATTTCTCTTGCACTGCTCCCCTGCCGTGTGGAGGGAACTCCTGCAATGTGCACATGACATTCCAGGATCCCTGTTCAGTGATGTGCCATCTTCCTCCCGTGCCCCTGGGGCTCCCTGCCAAAGGGTGACAGCTCTGTACATAGCCCTTGCCTCATTTGCTGCACGCTGTCACTGTTGCTGTGGCAGCACAAAGATTTCCACTGGCCTCATCAAGATTTGGAGCTGTTAGGTGTTCTGCAGGTAAATGATAGAGGATTTTGAATCCAAGATGTTTGGGTCTGGAATTTGTGTTGTTTTTTTTAAAACCTTAACAGCTACCTATGTCTTTTGCTGTGGCCATGGCCAGTTTCTTTCTGTGCCAGTTAAGCGATAGCTGGTATCACTTTATGGAGAGCTCTGTCCTCAAGCTCCACATTTGGGCAAAAAGAAGTCTGGGTAAAGATCAGCACAGCACCCTCCTGCTCTCTGGGCTGTACTTTGTGCTTTTGCTGACTCTCTTTGGTTGTTTAACTAAAACATCTTTAGGCAACCTTACGGCAAATTTTGAATATTCATGTACAGAACTATTACATGGTTTGTGCGCCCATTGGGAGAGGATTTGCAAAAGAAGTTCATTGCAATTTGAGTGTTTTCCAAAAATACCTTTTGGATTTGGTTTTTACTTTAAGCCTATGTAGATTTTAATCCAAATGTTTAATTCAAGCTACCTTAGCAAAACTGTGGAAACAGAACCTGTTTGTTTTGCAATGCAATAGTTTCTCTGCATTTTTTATTTTCCCAACACCTTTCCACCTATTTATCCCTCTTTAAAGAAATGCAAAGGGTTTTGATGCTTTTCTGGATTGAATTACTATAGTGAACATGAAAAAAATTTGGTTGGGAGTCTTGCATGGCTTCATTCATCACCAATAGAAGGATCAAGCACATTAACTTTTAGAGGTATTACATTCACATACCATCCCCTTGCCAAGGTACTTTGAATCCATTGTGCACATTTAAAGCTCAGTGATAACCCATACGTTCAGAACTGGAAAATTGCAATTAAGAGCTAAGAGCCCAGCCTTCAGGTAATTTGACCCAATCTCAGCTCACCCTGCAGTGCTGGCATGAAAGCAGCAAAAATCAGGAAATGTGAGGTCCTGACTGCTCCCTGGGCAGTGGGTCACAAGTTTCTCTGAATTCACTCCATCACCACAAGTGGCCAGACTCAGCACACTGGCCAGGGTAGAAGAAGAGATTTCGTCTCCAGTTCTAGAAGGTAAGAAGAGATAAAATGGTTGGCTGGAAATCTGCAGTACTACATCATCTGAAAATAAAGTATTTTTGAAATGCGTGTGGTGATGATGCTTGTAAACTTGCCATAATGATTGAATTGAACTGGATTAGGGTTGCTTGCTGCAAATACCAGTAGTTTGAATACTCCCTGACCTGTTTGTAACCTGAATTTTTCAGTGCTCTCAGTATTCACAGAAACTCTTTCTTATGGGGTGACACAAACTTCCACAGACATGGACTTTACTCCTTACAAGTCATACACCAACAACAGAAAATTCTGCTTGGTGTATGTGCTTCTGGCTCTCTGCAGAGCATATTCCAGGTCAGCGTGTTTTTGAGGGTTTAGCTGTTTGTTTTCCAAAGGAAAATTGAGAAGTTCTCTGTAACTGTGTGGTGCTGACACCAACCATCATACCAGACAGAAAGCAAACATTTTTAAATCACATGTATTGTGGCATAGTCCACACAGCATACTCAGATTGCTATTTAATCTTGGTTTTTATTTCAGGACAAAGGTAAGCTTTTTGTACTTAAAGGGTGAGCCTCTCCATGTGTTACTAAGCAAAAGTAGATGTTACAACACCTTGCAGATCTGCAGGCTGATGCAATGATGTGGTACTTCCCTTGGAATGTCACAACTGATGTGTCATCATCAGTCTTCATCAACTCAGGTTCGATTGATCAGTGTAATGGAGGGACAAGGTGGGAATAGTTTGAAAGAAGGGAATGTGAAGGCAAAATTAGGGAAAATTCAGGGCAAGATAAAAGGCTACAATAAGTAACAATAAGAAAAATGATCTGTCTCACATGACCAGCACCAGAGTATTTAGTACATGAGGACCACAGTCTGCCTCTCACTCCTGTGCAAATGTCCTGCTGCTCCCAGGGAGGAACCTGCTGGAGGAGAGACATGAAGCTGTGAATTTATACACTTTCTGCTTCCTTGCTCACAGACTTATAGCAGGGCAGAGGCAGAGAATGCTCTAATGAGCCCCAGTGTTAAGTAAATCCTGTGCCTATTCCCTAAGAGGATCTTTATTTGGGAGATAAATGCTGAACAGTTTTCACAGATGCTCTCTAGCTGCATTTTGTTTGTCTTGTCCCCAGCTCAGAGGCCCTCAGTGACAGTTTTCAAATGTTCCATTTTCTCTGCTTCTTTAGCACAGCTGCTCACACCTCCCTCGTTTCAAAGGCTGTTCCCAAAGCCAGATCCTGCCTCTCTGCCCATTCCTCACTGGTTTTGCCCATTCATTTCCAGGACAATGGACTCAGATATGTGTGTTCATTCCTGCACACCTCAGGCCTGCAGCTGGTGTGCTCTGAGGGGCCTTGCTGGCGCTCACTCCATTGCGCTGAGGCCAGAAGCAGCTGGAGCAGGAGCTGCTCTGCAGCCCAGGGAGTGACTCAGTGTGCCTCAATCACTGCTGGCGACAAATGTCTCTCACCAGGGGCATGACAACGACCAGTTTCGTCAGGCCTGAGGAATTCACAGGCTGGTGCTGGGGAGGTCGCTTTGCTCAGGGTTAGCCCATTTGGAGCAGTCGGTGTGAATCACAATGGGAAACTGGAGAGACCAGTTTGCTGGATTTTGTAGCACAAGGCTGGCCTACTGTCCTCAGCAAACTGCCTTACAGAGGTTTTGATACTCAGTTGATCTTTAACCAGGTGGAGAAAAAGCTGTTTGAAGGATACAGCTACAAAAGAAGTAAGACTTACCTGGTTTGTTGTGAAATACATTATTTCCAACCTGTTTGTTTTTTTTTCTGTTGCTTCCTCTCCAACCGCAGTATCCAAGCAGAGTTGGATGCAATTACAAAAAGACCCTTTTCAGTTCTATCAGTCTGATCTAATTGTGTTGTGCATGCCTTCATCAGCTGAAGATAAGGCTCAAACCACCAGCAGGGCCTTGTGTGCTTTACAGCCCCTACAGTGGCCCGGAGCAGTTGCCAAAAATAGGCTTTAGCACAGGTCAGTGGGCAGGAATGGCTGCGGGAGCATCACGCTGTTTACATGGCTGGACATGCAGCCTGTC